CACGCACGTGTGTGTGCATGTTGTCAGTTGTCCTGAGTTCTGCTCCTGGTGGTGTGCAGAAGGGCGGCCATAGCCCTTCTCATCATCATCCCTAACTAGAGTTTTCATCTCATAGAATTGTGTCAGGATTGCGACAACTTTATTGTAAGTTCCTCCATGTCATAGTCTGTCCCTTTCCAACAACTCCCAGCATGTAAACACTCAGTACATGGATTTTATGTCAAATTAGATGAAAATGAAGGAGAGAGGAGTGGCAGTGGAAAATGTGGTTGTATCCATCACACAGGCCTGATGGCTTTTGAAAACACTGTCAAGTTCAGACTCTCTGTGTCCTACATAAATTGCACATACGATAGCTTGTATATATACGGTTATCTGTTCCCCGTCAGAAGATCGCAGGTATGAGTGTGAATGAACAGCTGAGAGTGAGCATCTCCTGAGCAGAGTTTTCTGTCCTACACACTACATTGTACTCTGAATGTGAGCCGTACAACCCAGCCCTTGCAAGAACCTTCCAGGCTTTGCTGACCATTGGCTGCCACGATTTGAATTTTAGCTGCCGTGGTTTTGTTTTGTGATACAGTAATCCACAGATTCTACTATTGATGCCATTTGTTTTGTGTATGTAAGCTGTGTCTATGTGCAGCGTGTTTGGAAGCAAACTATAATAAGAAAAAACCCCACGAACTTTGTAAACATTTTAATATAAAATTTGTTTTTTATTAGGCACGTGGGAAAAAGCGCCAGATAGGCTGGTTCCCTGCTAATTATGTCAAACTTTTAAGCCCGGGGACAAGCAAAATCACTCCAACAGAGCCAGCTAAGCCGACAGCATTCCCGGCAGGTAAGCAGTTCACGCTGTCTCCTCGGAAAATGGTCTGCGTGTCGTGTTAGTCTTTCCACTCAATTTTCTCATGAAGTAGCTTCAATTGTCTTTCACGTCGGCTGTGAGCACTTCTTGTACTTGGTGGGACTGACACCCAGCTAATGTGATATGGGATATGTTTTTCAAAAGGACCAAATATCTAAGCGGCTTTGCTCCTCTGGGTACAACAGAGCCCTTGTGGAGCCGGCTTCCTCGAGGGGCCATGAATGCTGTGGCATTGAAGCCGGATTTTTCTCTTGATTTCCTTCCAGCTATTTAAATTGGGATTTGGGCTGGGGGGTGAGGGGGACAAAAAGGGCCTCCTAAAAATAAATGGCTGGGGTCTAAATAGGTCAGGAGATTGAGCTGGAAGGCCACGGGGGTCTGCTGGCTGTAATGTGCTGCTCACTGAAGACTGAAATAGCTCTCCCGTGACATTTCCTGTGAACAGAGGGGCTTCGCTTAACAGGCAGGATGTTATCCACACTCCCCTAAAGGACTGAAAAAAGGAACAGAGGACGCTGCAGCTGAGGGTGTTGGCTAGTTTCTGATTAAAGAGACCAAATTAGATGCTTTGGCAATATTTAAGATGGGTAAGGTTAGGGGGGCAGATTTGTGCTTTAGGTCTTCAAGCCATCAATTCTTGGGTGGCATTTGTGGAAAATGCAGAATTTTTGTTCCAGTACCTTGTGGTTAAATGTCTCTGCTGTACATCTCCATTGAGATCAGAGTGAAACCTGGCAGCCTTTGCAAGAAGTGAAAGGATTGGCAGACTGTATGGCTGATTCCCGACCCCATCTGGGCCCCTTTGCTAAACGTGGCTTCATGTGGGTGCATGGGTGTGGTCCCGGCTGGAACTCCTCTCCTTTGGGGAGGCCTGGTGGGGTCCCCTTCATCAGGTTGGTTGAAACCCACAGAAATAGTTTGCCAAAGTGACTGAATTAGCTGGCGGATCTTTAAAGCCTAAGCCTATATATGGGTTGGTTAGGAAAGATCAGCGGGGGGCGCAACCTCACTAGGCAGACTTTTGTGAAGTGTAAAAATGTCAGGGAACGAAAATGGCATAACCTCCTATAGGTTTGAGGGAAAATGAGAAAAGAAAAATGATTCTTGAATGTGGAAATTTCTTTCTTTGAGACATGAAGATACAGCAGAATAAAACACTGATTTTACTTTTCACTAAGAGCTGAACTTTTTGGAGGTCAAATGATAATTACCTTCCACTTAAAAAAAGAAAGAGTGAGCTACAGTGAAGTCCCTACGATACACAGCTGGGCCAATGGTCAGAGTCAGCGTTTTGAAGGAATTCCACCGCACACACATAGGAAAGAGTCCATGGAAGCTTTCAGCTGTCACTGCATTTTCTGCTGACAAGTAAACATGAACGAAGAGGAAGATATTAGAGAAACTAAAGCCTTGTTCAGCCCTCCATCTTCCTCCGCTGCCCACGCGGCTCAGAGCCCATCAGAGCTCTCCGCGCGGTTAGGTCCTCTCCGGAAGGGGCGCGGGCGAGGCGCGGGCGGCCCTTGGCCCCCGCGGCCGCCGCTCACCGGCCTGTCTCCCGCAGTGTGCCAGGTGATCGGGATGTACGACTACACCGCGCAGAACGACGACGAGCTGGCCTTCAACAAGGGCCAGATCATCAACGTCCTCAACAAGGAGGACCCCGACTGGTGGAAGGGAGAAGTCCACGGCCAGGTGGGGCTCTTCCCGTCCAACTACGTGAAGCTGACCACCGACACGGACCCCAGCCAGCAATGTAAGTGCCCCGGCGGCGCGGTTGCCTCTCCTCTCTGGTATCTCACGGTGAAACATGCAGCATTGCTCTGATTCTGCTGAGCTGTGTTTGCAGAACTTAAAGCTAGACCATTGCTGCATTCGCAACAGTCTCTTTGAAGACCTTCTGTAATGCAAGACTTTTATCTCGTGGGGTTTTTGGTTTTTTTGGTTTTGTTTTTTTTAATCATTCCTTCTGTAGCATGACCCCTCCCGCCCCTCCCCCTTTCCTTTTTTTTCTTTTTAATCATTTTGGCACCATGCTGTTTACATGCCTGACTCATTTTCCTAGCTTGAATTTTGCTCATTGTTTTGTTTTGCTTATGTGTTGTTTTCCTCCTTTTTCTAGGAATCATATGTTGTCCATCCCCCCCTCAGGCTTGAAAGTCCTCAAAGAGACCCACTATCCCATATCACTGCCCAGAGGGATGCTGGGAGATGCAGCCTTGATCATGTGACTTCCAGCATGATCACCTACTGCCTTCTGAGTAGAAGAACTCACTGCAGAGCAGTTTACCTCATTTTACTTTAGTTGCATGTGATGGCAATGTCGAGTTATTACTTGCAGAGATAGAAGCAAAAATTACAAAAATACACAGGGTAGTGGGTCCTTTTGTGGCTTTCCTAGTGACTCAAATTGACTTCCCCCCACCTTTGCACAGGTGCTTTCAATAGTTTTCCAAATTATTTTTAAATAAATATCTTAGCCTTTTAATAACAATAAATAAATACATAAATAAATTACTTCTTTGCTATTTTGGTTTTGCAAAAAGACCCACTATCAAGGAATGCTGCATGTGCTATTAAAAAAAATGTTCCAAATGTCCATAAATCTGAGACTTGATGTATTTTTTTTTTCATTTTGTCCAGTGTTACCAACTAAATTGTGTAGTTTGGGTTTTCACCCCCTACTGTAGAAGCTCAGAGGAGTTCAGTAGATCTGTTTTAAAGACATGTAGAATGAGGCCAATTAAACAGAAGGTGTTTTGTGCTTGTTTGTGTGTATCAGATGTACCTTGTTGAACATGTAATAATACATCCTGTACATAAGAAATTAGTTCCTTCCATGGCAAAAGCTACTACCTTGTATGATGCTCTGATCATATTGCATTAATTTTATTTTGCACAGTGACCTTGTAGCCACATGAGAAAGCACCTGTGTTTTTGTTCGGTCTCAGATTTATCCGGTTGAGTTCTGGTGTTTTCTGTTTTGGGTTTTTAATTTTGCGTGTTTTCATACCATAAATCAGTAGACAACACCATGGAGGTTGCCATGATCAACGATACCTGCAATCTCTTCTGAGTCTCTGTTACATGAAGTTTTATTCCAGTTACTTTTCATGGAATGACATATTTTGAACAAGTAATTTTGACAAGAAAGAATGTATAGAAGTTTCCCTGCAATTAATTTCCAATGTTTACATTTTTTAACTAGACTGTGGAATTTCTACAGATTAATATGAATGGAGCTCATGGTCTGTTGATGTGTTGGATGTGTTGTAGCTGAAGCCATGTTTGTCTTTTAAACACTAGTTGGAAGCTCTCAATAAAAACGCCGTTGCCGACAGCACAGACAGCGGGGCGGGGTGGGCAGGAGAGGGGCGCCTCGAGTACCATCCACCAGTTCTGCTAATGACTTTTTAACAGTAGTGGTCTGTTTTTGTCTCTCCCCTTGGGGATTCCGTGCTGGCGATTGTGCAGAGGTCCTTCTCCGCTCACACGGTGCAGGGAACGAGGTCTTCTTGTTCCCTGGCGCTTCAGTATTTTCATGAACATGAATGTAAAATATATAAATATATAAACCTGCAGCTTTAACAACTGTAATACAACCTTTTGAATTAGTCATGTGTATAGATAATTAAATTCTTCATATAAAAGTTAGACGGAAATGTCTCTGTGTTCTTGATGTTGGCATGTGGCAGTGGTGACGGGGAACCAAACAGACTAGACGTCAGCCTGTGACCTGCCGCCCACGCGTCCATTGTGATACCGACACCATGAGCGCCTGCATCTTTGAAACGCCCCCCCTCCCACGCCCCCATCAGTATGCAAACAGTTATGCCTCATAATACTGGTTTTGAAGGATAGAACTACCACCCAGCTTAGCAACTATCTCATTAGGCTTTCAGTAAATTCTGTTGACACGTTGGCAGGTGTGCGGTGTGATTCAGAGTACAAAACATTCTTCCAAAAAATGTACCACAATAAGAGTCTATTGAACATGCGAAAAATACGTGAGTAAATACGGCATCTCTCCCATCTTCCATGCCGTGGTTCGCCATCTGTTTCTGTCTTGCACACTCCAGCCTCGTGGCCTTTGCTGAAATAAACCTGTGTACCTGTTGATGGAACTTTTGGCTACCATGGCCACATGCTTGATTCCGTTCATGAACTTTGCTTATTGGTCCTCCCCTGCCATTCAGCTGAAAAGTGATTTCCTTCGTCAACTCAGCAGATATTTGAGGGGAGAGAGCCACCGGGTGTGGACGCCTCTCTGGGTTCTGGGGAGAGTGTGCTGCTCCGTCAGTAGAGTCAGGGTCCCCGTCCTCGTGGAGTCCATGTGCTAATGGGAGGAACAAGCAGAAAACCAAATAACTGCATACATTTGTGTACCTGAATATGTGTGGTGGGGGGTGTGATCAGGTGATACATTCTGTGTGAGGGCAGATATGAATGCCAGGTGGCACTGAGCGTGATGTCCAGAGCCCACGGGGCGGGGAGGGCGGCCGCAGGGAGAGAGCAGAGAAGCCTTCCAGGAGAAAGGGATGTTGAGACCTGAAGGGTGAGGAGGAGTCAGATGAGGCCACAGTGAGAAATGGCTGTTTTAGGCAGAGATGTCACACAAGGCCCGGAGGCGGGCGGAGAGATCCCCGTCACTGTTCCCCAGCCCCACCCCCTGGTGCAGGAGGCCCCGTCTCTCGGCCAGAGCCCCTTCACCTGTGTAAGTCGGCATTTCTTCTCCAGCTTGCGTTTGGCAGGCAGGGAGGCCGTTATCCAGGTGAACGTCACTCTCTGTAACTTTCTCTCCAGTGCCCTCTCGCAGGTTGTCCCTCTAGGCTATCTTCTGGATTTGCGAATCTGAGGCAGGAAGTTGCTGTTTCTCCTCACAGATCATTCAGTTTGCATTTAGTTGTAGAGTATCCAGCTGACCCCATGCTTCTCAACCAGAGGGAGGACTGC